TGTCTCGGTCCAGAACTGAGACAGTTGGTCATTGTCTCAGTCCAGAACTGAGACGGGTCCCCAACTGAGGTACAACACATACATCATCGATATGACGTACGTTTACATGTCATGATACTACGTAATATAAACATATGATGCAAATTAGTACTCTTATAATAAATTAAACAATTTGTGATTATGTCTAATATATTAATAGAGATAAACACTTCATTCTGAAGTACGAGTACTTTGTTTTTGCTCGATCTGTTATGCGATACATTGCCCAATTTAGCATTAACATTTCGATGCGTACAAAGGTCGTATTTCATCGTTATGCTACTGTAGTCAAACGACAAAAGAAACAATTGACATACTTTAAACATTAATATCTGCACGCCGAGGTCAAAAGATTTTTTAACACTGCAACCAGATTATGGACCAATGTCCTTGCTATCGGCACGAATACCTTTTCGATAGTTGTACTAAAGTCAGTAACTAAGTACAAACATATTACAACTTACTAAGTTTAATGTATGAGACTGTGCCTGAGTAGGTTACTGTTTTAATTATCTTGGCGATCCGTGCTGAGCTTCGTGCCAATCAAAGACCACAGTGCCGAACGCATTTTGTAATATATTCGTATTGTTATTTTGCTCTTTCGTATTAATATGTTAATACGTATACGTAGTATACGTAAACTTTGTTCGTTGAAAGTTTTTACACAATAGTTCCAGCAATACTGTTTCGGCATACAATAGAAACTGCTTCTTTTTCTCCAAACTCTATTTTTTGAATGGTTAACTTAAATTTCTTGTAAAAAGACACCTTGTCGAATTTTTCGGCTTTTGTGTATTACAATTGTTAATATTAATTTAATAAACCCCACATGAAAAACTCGGGTCTAACGTTTTCTCGAAGTACCTTCTGTCCAATCCATAGTTCAAGGCTCGAGCTTAAGAATATTCCGCCTGCTAAATTCTTTTGCCTTTCAATGTTAGGACTCCGCACGAGTGAAGCCCCCACAGTTCAGGATTAATAGTGGTAACTGGGATGGAGGCACTGAGTCTTGTGTCTCTCTTCGCGATTTTTGAAAGTTTCTCCGTATCCTGTATATGCTGCATTTTCTGAAACAATGTCCTAATTAAAACGCAAACATTTAATCGTTTAGCAAATAAGGTGGAAAATACGTTCCAAAATAATAATAATAACAATTTCTTCGCGCCCAAGTTTTATGACCTTGGTCGCATTACGTATTCCTGGAAAAAATTCTCAATATGTATTAAAACTTTCACGTCATTAGTAGACACTTGGATCACTTCGAATCAAACCAGAATAGATATCCTATTTCAATTAACACAGGTGCATAAACAAGTTGTTTGTTTTTTACTTGAGTTAGGTAGAACAAAGACAAAGGGTGTGCACATCTTTTCCTAGTACGTGCACAACTGGCAATAGTTAGGTTTAAATGGCCAAACCTTTTGATGTTGTTCGAATTTTGGTCAGTTTTTTTTAGACACTGGCTTTTCAATAAATTTTGTTTATGCTGAAAGTGTCTGGAAGCTTTTGTGAACAACTATATTGATGAATATATTTAGGCACTCGTAAGCCAAGACTTTGGGTTCTTAAAACAAACTAGCCAACTATTAAACAAAATAATCGCAAGTGCGTCTAACCAATCGGCATTAGTGTAATGACACATCAATATGTAATAAACACGGACATTGTCCATCATATTGCAGGGACATCTGTACCATACAGTTCCAAAAATAGACACCCCCTTTTATTGTTTGTTTAGGAGTTTAGCATCTGAGTGGCATTTTTACAGGGTATTACATCTTGACAAATATGGCATTATGATTACTTTAGACATTCTTATAAAGAATTGAAAGTTACGGATGAGTTTGTTGATACTAACAACAATAAAGCAGACGAATAATTTTTAATTTGTTATCAAATAAGTCAATATTGATGCTTCATCAAACAAAGTTAGCATTTACTTTAGAGTAAAGTAAATGCTAATTTTTTAGATATGAACTATTGAAAGAGTGTTTATTGTCGGACACAACTTATTATTGTTGGTGGAAGCGTTTATTCCTATATTATTAAGAGGGATGGCGCTCATTAATGTAACGCACTATTACGCTGCATATTATTATATCAATTTATTGTGGCAGGCAAATCTATATACCTACCCGCCACTGCCCAGGGTAAGAAAGTGCTTTGTAACAAACCACTTTTTCTTTCACCGTATTTACTTTGCAAACAACTTGCACAAAATACAAATGGGTTAGTAAAAAGTAAGAACTACTTCGCCTAATTCTCCCCCCTCTGATTGTGATTGTCAACTGACATCCGGTTATCATATGACAATTAGTTAAAAAGTCTCTCCATAGATACACAGTTATCAACCCACTCTTCCTCGAAAGCTCGCTCTGTCTCTTCAATTTCATCATTGGTGCTAAATAGAATTCTAGTTTTTTGCCAACAATTTACAATAACCTGTTGACTAACTCTGTCCCAAGCATTAGCTACTGTATATATTGCGTCTTTAATAGTAAACGGAGTGGATTCGGTATTATTATCCATTGGTACATCGTATGCAACTACCCTATTCTGAATGAACATAAGTTTGTAGTGAGAGTTGAAAGCAGAAATTATGCCCCATCCATCGCAAGGATGTTGTTCGAATGTAAGACTAGTAAGACTATCAATCTTCTTGTGTGAGGTTGCATTGTCCATAAATAAGATTATTTGTCGCGTAGTCGGGCATCGAATTGGTAAGCAATCAATATAATTTGACTCCTATGAATTGATTAGCGTTAAATTTTTATAATGTATAATGTCATCCATAAATAATGCAAATAACCAACCTGCATCCATGCAGTCTTACCCAATAATAATCAACTGGAAGATTATTCCTTTCAAAGATCGTGGTATTTTAGTGTTATTGAGTATTAGAGATGGTAACTTCTTCCCGCTGATTTGAAACTTAGATAAGACTCTACTTGGCTCTCGCGCCCAATACAATACGATTTCATCGCATTGTAATTAAAAATATTATTTCCAATTCTTCAAACGGTGTCAATCTCTTGCTGTTATGGTGAACTTATCACTTCGTAATGCTTAAGGTACGATTTTATTCCATGTCTTAGTTTAAAACCACCTTCAGATGCCTTAAAATCTGTAATTCCAAATACCGTTGCAAATTTATCTGCTTTGTTAAGTATGGCTGCGCCATCAATGTCTTGATTACCAAGAAAAATACGTTCGATAATGGCCATTTACTTCGGGTGCTCTCATCAGCTACCTCCCCTATCAGATTAGTTAAAATTAGCAATCACTGTAGGGGAGGTACCATAAATAGTAATTGACAGTAATCGTACTATTGTCTATACTACAATCGTATTCTATGATATGTATAACTTATCAAAAAATAAAGAAATTCTTCCACTTCATTTGGCAAAAGCTTGTGAGTACCTACCTCCCCTTTAACTTACCTACCTACCAAATTTGTCAGGGGAAGTAAGCTGATGTCTACTAGCCTTGGCCATTTGGGAGGGCAATTTTTTTATGTTAGCATCTGGCTGTCCTGAATTGTCATCCAATGTTTCTTTCTTTAAGTTAGCATGAGATGCAGATATTCACATTTAACAACACATATCTCTTGTTTTTGCAAAGTTAATATTAAGGAGATTATGCCCTGTTTTGATTTATCAGGTAAATATTGATCTTTTGAATAAGCAAGAGATGCATAAAGAGAACTTTTTATATTTGCACTAGCTGATCCTCAAATTTCTTCCAGAATCAGTATATATATATGGAGAGTTTATAAGAAATTCTGGTATAAACAAAGAATTTTTATATGAAACAAACTGTGCACAAGAATCAGTCTGGTATTAGTATTATTACGGTCGGGAAATAAATGGGGGTTTGGGAGAGCAATTTATCTTTTCGCGTAGGTGTGTTCGCCGACCGGGGGATGTTACAAGACTTAGCTTGTACTATCGCCCTTACTACGATAGTTGTGCAATTAAGACTGAATTAAGCCCAAGTGACCTATTTTAATTGTGCGCGCTTTCACTCCCTATTCGAGTTTCAAAGACTCGTGAATACAAATAAGGTACCTCTAATAAAATAATAATAACAATTATTCACTAAAAGAATCGAAGGGGAATAATACTATGTTAAAATTAAACAGGGCTATCTTCGATTTGTGTTTCGACTGGTCGGTATCCGTCACTTGTCTTTACTAAACTAATTAAACAATATTCGTCTCGATAATTAATTATGAAGGACAGCTTATTAGTTTGATTTAATCAATGCTATTCCGTTACAGCTTAAGTGAGCCATTTATTGGAGTGTTCGGTCTAATAATCAATTATTTCGACGATAGAATATTAAATTATGTATATTTATAATAAAGGATTTTAGGAGAATACTAAGATAAGTAGTATTATTTTATTTCACAACATAGACAACATTACAACATGAAGATTTGACGATGGGGAAGAGCTACTTATATATCTTTTTTGTCACAAGAAAAACGACACGCTTCTATATAAATTATTATACTATGAAGAACAATTAATTTCAGCGTTTGTGCTGTCACATATTTTGCGACACGCTACCAAATTAATGCCGATCATGGGTTTGTTTGACTGCGGAGGAAGATTTTATCATGTGACATACTTATCTAATTCATCAGATAAATATAGAGAGATTTGGTATGTACCTCTCTGGTATAAACAGAGTTGACTGTATTAGGGCCTAATCCTTTTGTTACACACTTGAGGTTAATAATATACTGGAATAGAAGTTATTAGTCAAGAGAAAAAAGTCATTCAAATATAGTGTTAATACCAAGAGTAAGTGATACATTTATTAAAGCTGGATAATTTATAGATAATATAATATTCATTAATTCCTACTCATAATGTTTAGTTTGTAGTATTCTCAAAATCCAATCAACAAGTTGAATTTGTGTCATAAACTTTCTATTTGAGTTTAATTTATTTTGACTTTTTTCTTTCATAGAATTCTGCAATCTCTCGAATTTTTTCTTCTTTCATTGTTTTGTTATTGAAGAACTTAATATTATAAATATGTGCTCGTGCTCTAGCAAGACCTTGGTTAACTGCTTTTTCATATAATTCAATTGCTTTTTGTTCATCTTGTTCCACACCAGTTCCATACTGATAGCAAAAACCAAGATTACATTGTGCAAAAACATTACCTTGCTTAACTGCTTTTTTATACCATTCAACTGCCTTTTTAGCATCTTTTTCTACTCCAGTTCCATTAGCATAACATACACCAAGATTATGTTGTGCATTAGCATTTCCTTGTTCAGCTGCTTTTCCATACAATTCAACTACCTTTTGCTCATTTTTTTCTACTCCAATTCCATTGCAATAACAAAAACCAAGATTACATTGTGCTTGAGCATTTCCTTGTTCAGCTGCTTTCTGGTACAATTCAACTGCTTTTTGTTCATCTTTTCCTAGTCCAGTTCCAGTTTCATAACACATACCAAGATTATATTGTGCATCAGCATTTCCTTGTTCAGCTGCTTTTTTATACAATTCAACTGCCTCAGTTATTTTCTGGTACAGTTCAACTGCTTTTTGTTCATCTTTTTCTACTCCACTTCCATACTGATAGCAAACACCAACAAGATCAAAAAATGCAGTGGAGGATAAAAAAGCCATATTGACTGTAATGATTGTATAAGTCACCTAATTTAAGAACTATCACATATGCCTCATATGCCTTAAATAAATCTGAATTGGTACAACTAAATCTATTATTAGTTACATGGTTTTTCCCCTTGCGTAATCAACTTTGTGATGCGAGACACAATCGGCATATGTTGCCTTTATAAAGTACAGGATATACAGTATATTACACTATGGATGCAACGCATTTAGCACATTGTTCGAACCAACAACAAATGAATTGACTCAAAAAGATAGTTGAGGACAGGATACTTACACATAGAATTGTACAATTTCGAATTCATATCTGCCATTCCATCCCACTATTATCGTTCACCTCATCGAACCCTATTCATGGTAACCAAAAAAGCCTACTATTAAGAGATCACAACCCTTGAGCAATCGTAGATATGGCTTTTACATCGCTATAATCATAATGAATATTCGATTCAAGTAACAATCCCTGAAGATTGATTCTGAATAATATTTTTACCTGTCGTATATGTACTAGACCGATCTGGTCATTAAACCGATCTGAGATCTCATTATAATTAATTAATATCAGGTGATGTAATCATGTCATGATTAACTGATGTGTATGACATATATACTAATACAGGAAATATACTCACTTCACTTTTACTATTCGCTATTACTATTCATTATTCACCATTCGCTATTCGCCGTTCGCCACTCGATACTTGTCTCGAGTGGGAAAGTACCGTATTTCTCGGACTAAAGTACCCCCCTTGCATAGTACCCCACCATTTTGAAGCTCATGGAATGTAAAAGACCATGGTACTATGATCGTTTTGTTACACAAAATACTTGTAAAGTACCATGGTACAGCGTTTTTTATTATTATATTACCATATATTCCTAAAACCA